AAAGACAAAACAAAAGATAATTCAGTTGTCGAATTACTGTTGTATTAAATATGTGATATTTGATAATCCCTAATTCACCATGTCTCCAACACAAACATGTTACCCTTCCATTCATTATTACCTGAAATTTGGCCAAAATTCTAACATTGTGCCTATGAATATGAATGATTAAAAGAAACGATACTCGTTGTTAAAATTCAATGATTAGAAAGGCGTACAGAGAAGAAACAAAAATAACACCATGATGTCAGAAACTAGATCAAACGGGAGACCCCGTGAAATATTAGTGACTTGAGAGTAACGTCTTACCGTCTGTGCTAAAGACACACTCTTTGATCCAACGAGCATATAATATAATGTAATATGATTCTAGATTCATGAAAATATTTCAACTTCGTTTTCCGTTGTATGCACGCAAAATGCAGCTTTCTCATTCGTCGATTTTATTATTTTCATTCCTCGATGAAAAACCAAACATCTAGCTTCGCCCACTTGATAATGATTGAAGGAGTCAATGGCAACACACCACATTGCGAGGGATCGTTCATACAGAAGCGGCTATACAACCTCTCATCTGAGTACATCGTGAGTGATTAGTATAAGTTGACATAACTTGTTTCGCAATTGTTGTAAAATAAATAAAGTTTATATTTATTAAATTAGATGATCTTACAATACCGTTTACTAGCCGATACATATGCCGTTCAACTTCAATCGACGTCGTCAGCGCGAAGATTGTCGGCCATATTGCTGAAATCGTATTAAAAAGGCTTCTTAAGTTTCATTATGGAAAACATCAGATACTTATCGGCTGCTTGCACCGGATAATTTAAAGCTAAGCTGTTTATGCAGTGTAGAGCAAACAGCCGATAAATTCACTGAAGACAGCTAGTAAAACAAATCACCGACCGCCAAGTGATTATAGTCAGACCAGACGTAATTGTTATATTATTGAAGAATCTGCTGAAAGAAAATATTTCCATTCAAGTTAACTTGAATATGTACTGTTTAAGTGTTTAATATCGAGGTGTTAACCGCGAAAATCAGAAACACTTTAATTATGAAAAAGAAACGAAAGCTTTATTGTGATGGCCCCGATAAAGCGAAAGACGCTTACCATTCCGGAACACCTGGTATTATTCTCCTTCTACGTTTCAAGTGTATCCATAAAGGTTTCCTCTGTTGAATTTTGTAATCGATATTTTTCTTGATTTTAGTTTAGATTAACATATTGGGGATGAGTCAGTTTGGTTTTTTTAATCGAGAAAATACTCTCTCGGTGAACATATTGAACGAACTACAGACGAAATCCAAAAGATTGAGCACCCGGCTACAGGTTTTTGACTCCCTAAACGAAAAAGTCAATCTAACGTCAAACGTGGGCGAAGAGATTGACGACTTCTCGAACCAGTACAAAGATTTTTTTCTATACTCTCTCCAGAGATCTCTAGGTGTCTATCAAGTAGGGGAAAAGGGATATAGGGCCTGTGTTCATTAGTTTCCACCATGACAAGCTGAATAATGATACCATTTTAATTGTGAAAAAAGTACACAATTAACATCCAAACTTGAATTAAATAAAACTATGACAAAGTATGGGAAAAAAGCTTTGCACGCAGACTCATGGAAAATACAGGGGGAATAAGACCATGACAGGTGTTCCGGAAGAGTAAGCGTCTTCCGCTTCATCGACGACACTCGCCATGTAAATTTTGGCCAATCCAAGTAAGTAGTGTCTCATTCTCAAACGAATACAACCATTGTTTTACTTTGGGCCAAAGTGACCAAATAAATGTTACTTGAGAATGTGTTTCTGTTGTGTTTCTTTTATTTTTTTTTACATGGAATGCTATTGAAACAGAATGAGATAATATGTATGAACAAAAGATAGAATTTCCAATATTTATTTCATTAATTAACTCAAATTCGAGATATTTCGGGATTTAACCAACATACAAATGTGCTCTCTGGTTGTCTGTCTGTCTGTCTGTCTGTCTCTCTCTCTCTATATATATTTTTTCCCATATGACACCATTATGAAGTAATTATTTTATTTCTGTTTAAATATTAAATATTCACGAATTCATCATAATTCATACTTCAGTAACTCAGAAAGATCTTAGTCATTTTAAAGTATAGATCTATATATTGATATCGGAAATTTAATATCCCAGACCCACTACTGAACTGATGAAACGATATACGATTTGTTTCATGTTCAGTGCCACATTGATAATTATTCACATAGTTTGAGACAGACTGTTCCGGTTACATCGGAAAACGGTTTAACCGAAATATGGTACAGTCCCGTATTGACAAGTTTTTATGCCCCCGCCATTTATGTCCGTCCGTCCCGTTCCGTCGCGTCGCGTCCCAAATCAGTATATACCACCTAACAACTTCATTCGGACCTTTCACTATTATTTCACATGGGGGGCGGGGGCATTCATGTCTTACAGACATTTTCTAGTTTTTATAATTGTTTGTGATACTCAAATATCAGACGTCATCTGTTTACAATAGCTAAACGGCACTGTCCAGTTTTTTTTAAACAATGTAAAGTAGCTGAATGAACGAACCAATTTGCAATATCTTTTAGCAAGCACAGTTCGCAAGATGTATAGTAGAAGAATAAGTTTTCATGCTTAAGTCCATCACTTTTTTGTACGATACTAGTGATTGATTGGTCGACAGGTTTTCTGTCTCTGTCACTCCTCCCGTGTCCGGGTCTCGTTTCACCGACAAATGTCAGTGTTCTGGCGACGTGCCTTTTTAAAGTGTCTCATAAGCCTTAATTAGGTGTCAATTTTGCTACATGTTCCATGCTTATGTTTACATTACGTATTGTTATGAAAAATTGACATGTGACAACTTAAATAAAATATAATGTATTATATATTGTAGTGTTTCTAAAGTTTTTTTGAAATATATATATTGTTTACAGAAGTTTTAATAAAATACATTTGAGTACATGATATATCAATGGAGTGCACATAGACCAAGAAGTTTAATTACATCATCACACAAACTTAAAGACATATGTCAAAAGAAAAAGAGAGAAATTTTGTTTTTATTTAGACCGGTGTTTTAATATAGCAGTACTCACACATGAAATTTATTTTCAGATTTTTTGAAAATAAAATGGAATTATTTACGTAATATTTCATACACTTTGTTTTTAATATTGTTAAATGTAAGTCATACAAAAACACAGCACGAAAAAATCCATCTCCCAGGTTTGAATTGTTCGTACCTTTTGGGGTGTATAAAATGTCAGATTTGTTTTTTTTTATCGATGTTCTCTGTTGAAAGACTTAAATGAATGTTAAAGTTTGTAACCATTTCTTTGTATTCGTGTGAAACATTGTGCAGTGTACTTCATTATCGTCTTCAAATTAATCTTAATTATGATTAAAGAAACTTTTCATTCGTTGTCTTGATAGATTTACCTCCCTTGTCCCAGTATTTCTTCCTGTTAATTAAACCGGTGCGAACATGGCAAGTAAATGCATTCTTTTATAGCAACATATCACTAAGACCCAAGTGTCAAATATTGAAAAATTCTTAAACTCTTTCTATAATAAGTTCCACTTGAACATGACTACACTTTGTGATTCCAAAACTGCATGGCATAGGATTGAAAAGATTCCGGGTCTAATATTATTTTCTACTAAATTCACAACAATTAAACATGTTGGTTGTGAAAGGGGTTGTTTTTTTCATGATTATCCCATTTAATTAAATGACTTATTAAACTTAGTTGTGTCTTTAAAAATCATACCAACAGATTGAAAATATATCGTGTAAGTATTTTGAAAATAGTATAGGCCACATTTGGTGAAAAAAAATCAAGAAATTATGTTTGAAACCAAGGAATTTTCTCGATTAATAAAAAAATAAAAGATATTGGGAAATAATTAATTGGTAAAGGTTTTCTGTGAATTTTTATCACTCCTGAAGAAATTAATGCGTAAGAGACACTACCCCCATTGTAAACTCTTTCCACTAAATCAAGTTTTATACATGTATCATCAAATTAAAGGGGTATTTCACTAAGTATCAATATTTCTGACTGTTCTGTATCTTTTAAGAACTCATTCTAATAATTATTGGTAGCATCAGAATATCTCTCTTGTGGTCAGGTTCCACCGGCGAAATTGGCGGGAATACTCTCAGCCAGTCTGTCTAAATAGAGCACATCAGGAAATCCAAAGCTGAATCACAGGATTATAGATTTTATGCTGAGTATTGGGTAAATACATAAGTGTGTATGCTGTCCACTTAAGTTTTTCCTGTTCAGCTTATAACAACGCAAACTTGTATGTCACAATCAGGGCTGTACCAACATTAGTAAACCAATCTAGCTAGATCTATAAAGAATTTCAACAAATTAAATATTCTTTGTTTGTCTAAATGGTTAATTGAAGTGTACGAAATTCCATAAAAACATAAGTAGATGATTTTGTACAATTTTCATCAGATGCATTCTACAAAATCTGAACTTGTGCACAATATTTCTTTAAATATTGCAATAGAAAAAAATGCATTGAACATCATATCATATTCAATAACAAAAAAGAGACCAAAACTTTAATGTTTGATATTTATTATGTTATGACATATCACAACACCTTTAACAATGTTTGTTTTATCTCTTACAAGCTGTATTAGATAAAAGCACATCCATATCAATTTTGATGTCATTTGACGTTTTTTAAAGCTTGCTGCAATTTGATATGTAAACCTTGCATTGCAAAACAAGAACAGTCCTGTGTATTGTATCAGCTCTTATTGGCTGCAAATATATACTTTTTTTTCAATGTGATGAAATTATAGGTTAAACATTTGTGTGTATATTTGCCGATATTAATGCAAGCATCGGGTTTACAATGTATATGAATACTACCAATAGTAAAATCACATATAACCTAAAAACGATTACTAAGTCAGGACTCTTCGTCTCAGAAAATAACCATATACGCCTACTGAGTGTGATTGACTCAGTACACTTCAATGCTTGCGTAACGAGTATGTCCACCTCCACGAATTTCCTTCAGTCGACCACAATGACGTAAAAGTGTCAACAGAGATCGGTACACACTGTCCATTTTTATATGTGAGAACTCTTTCACATCTTCATCCACAATGAAATGCTCCCCTGAAACAAACAAACAATTCATAAAAATAAAAACATAAAAAATACAGTTATGCCTGCCTTAAAAACCACATGTATATAACAAATACCTGTCTATAAAGGCCTATTGTATATAACAAATACCTGTCTATAATGGCCTATTGTGTATAGCAATTACCTGTCTATATTATATTGGCCTATTGTATATAACAAATACCTGTTTATAAAGGCCTACTGTACACAAATACCTGTCTATAAAGGCCTACTGTACACAGATACCTGTCTATAAAGGCCTACTGTACACAGATACCTGTCTATAAAGGCCTACTGTACACAGATACCTGTCAATAAATGCCTGCTGTACACAAATACCTGTCTATAAAGGCCTACTGTACACAGATACCTGTCTATAAAGGCCTACTGTACACAGATACCTGTCAATAAATGCCTGCTGTACACAGATATCTGTCTATAAAGGCCTACTGTACACAGATACCTGTCTATAAAAGGCCTTCTGTAAGTAACAAATACCTGTCTATAAAAGGCCTTCTGTAAATAACAAATACCTGTCCATAAAAGGCCTTCTGTAAGTAACAAATACCTGTCTATAAAAGGCCTTCTGTAAGTAACAAATACCTGTCTATAAAAGGCCTTCTGTAAGTAACAAATACCTGTCTATAAAAGGCCTTCTGTAAGTAACAAATACCTGTCTATAAAAGGCCTTCTGTAAATAACAAATACCTGTCTATAAAGGCCTACTGTACACAGATACCTGTCTATAAAAGGCCTTCTGTAAGTAACAAATACCTGTCCATAAAAGGCCTTCTGTAAGTAACAAATACCTGTCTATAAAAGGCCTTCTGTACCTGTCTATAAAGGCCTACTGTACACAGATACCTGTCTATAAAAGGCCTTCTGTATGTAACAAATACCTGTCTATAAAAGGCCTTCTGTATGTAACAAATACCTGTCTATAAAAGGCCTTCTGTAAATAACAAATACCTGTCTATAAAGGCCTACTGTACACAGATACCTGTCTATAAAAGGCCTTCTGTATGTAACAAATACCTGTCTATAAAAGGCCTTCTGTAAGTAACAAATACCTGTCTATAAAAGGCCTTCTGTATGTAACAAATACCTGTCTATAAAAGGCCTTCTGTAAATAACAAATACCTGTCTATAAAGGCCTACTGTACACAGATACCTGTCTATAAAAGGCCTTCTGTAAATAACAAATACCTGTCCATAAAAGGCCTTCTGTAAGTAACAAATACCTGTCTATAAAAGGCCTTCTGTAAGTAACAAATACCTGTCTATAAAAGGCCTTCTGTAAATAACAAATACCTGTCTATAAAAGGCCTTCTGTATGTAACAAATACCTGTCTATAAAAGGCCTTCTGTAAGTAACAAATACCTGTCTATAAAAGGCCTTCTGTATGTAACAAATACCTGTCTATAAAAGGCCTTCTGTAAATAACAAATACCTGTCCATAAAAGGCCTTCTGTGAATAACAAATACCTGTCTATAAAAGGCCTTCTGTACACAAATACCTGTCTATAAAAGGCCTTCTGTAAATAACAAATACCTGTCCATAAAAGGCCTTCTGTAAATAACAAATACCTGTCCATAAAAGGCTTTCTGTAAGTAACAAATACCTGTCTATAAAAGGCCTTCTGTAAATAACAAATACCTGTCTATAAAAGGCCTTCTGTAAATAACAAATACCTGTCTATAAAAGGCCTTCTGTACACAAATACCTGTCTATAAAAGGCCTTCTGTACACAAATACCTGTCCATAAAAGGCCTTCTGTAAGTAACAAATACCTGTCTATAAAAGGCCTTCTGTACACAAATACCTGTCCATAAAAGGCCTTCTGTAAATAACAAATACCTGTCTATAAAAGGCCTTCTGTACACAAATACCTGTCTATAAAAGGCCTTCTGTAAATAACAAATACCTGTCTATAAAAGGCCTTCTGTACTCAAATACCTGTCTATAAAAGGCCTTCTGTAAATAACAAATACCTGTCTATAAAAGGCCTTCTGTACTCAAATACCTGTCCATAAAAGGCCTTCTGTAAATAACAAATACCTGTCCATAAAAGGCCTTCTGTAAATAACAAATACCTGTCTATAAAAGGCCTTCTGTAAATAACAAATACCTGTCCATAAAAGGCCTTCTGTAAATAACAAATACCTGTCTATAAAAGGCCTTCTGTACACAAATACCTGTCTATAAAAGGCCTTCTGTAAGTAACAAATACCTGTCTATAAAAGGCCTTCTGTAAATAACAAATACCTGTCTATAAAAGGCCTTCTGTAAATAACAAATACCTGTCCATAAAAGGCTTTCTGTAAGTAACAAATACCTGTCTATAAAAGGCCTTCTGTAAGTTCTGTAAATAACAAATACCTGTCTATAAAAGGCCTTCTGTAAAAGGCCTTCTGTAAGTAACAAATACCTGTCTATAAAAGGCCTTCTGTAAGTAACAAATACCTGTCTATAAAAGGCCTTCTGTAAATAACAAATACCTGTCCATAAAAGGCCTTCTGTAAGTAACAAATACCTGTCTATAAAAGGCCTTCTGTAAATAACAAATACCTGTCTATAAAAGGCCTTCTGTAAATAACAAATACCTGTCCATAAAAGGCTTTCTGTAAGTAAGAGATACCTGTCTATAAAAGGCTTTCTGTATGTAACAAATACCTGTCTATAAAAGGCCTTCTGTAAGTAACAAATATCTCTCTATATTATATTGGCCTATTGTATATAACAAATACCTGTTTACAAAGACCTACTGTACACAAATACCTGTCTATAAAGGCCTACTGTACACAGATACCTGTCTATAAAGGCCTACTGTACACAGATACCTGTCTATAAAGGCCTACTATACACAAATACCGGTCATTAATGGTCACATGTATATCATAAATACCCATGCATACAGGTCATCTTTATATGACAAATACCTGCCAATAATGACCACCTGTCTATGAAGGCCACCTGTATATAACAAATACCTGTCTATGAAGGCCACCTAGCTATATAAAACGGATGTCATGAATACCTGTCTATAAAAGTCACATGTATATAATGTGTATATATTAAAATCCAGATATAATACAATTCAGTTATTGAACCCTATTTTAAGGGCCACCTATAGACAGCTTTGACTATACACATATGATGACAGTTTTAAAACATTAAATGTTGTGGTAACTATAAATGTTTTGGTAACTATAAATGGTGTGGTAATTATAAATGTTTTGGTTACTATTGTGTTGTGTATATGTATATGCAGCCAAACTAGGTCATTAGTTTATGATAATAACATTTTAGACATAAGATTTACCAGACCTCCAAATGTTAAACAGATAAAAAGTTCATTGCTAAGACTTTGTAGAAAGCTTAGAGATTGCTAAAAATTTTCTCATTTCTTTGACAAACAATTCAAGTCCAACTGCTCAAACTGCTTGCAATGATATGAATGAAATAGCGCCAGATTTTATTATCATAAGGCTGATGGTTGCCTAAGAGGTCCAGTATATATTCCTGGCTTTGTGAAAACAAAATTCTACATCCACAATGCTTGTTCAAGGTATCATTATCATTTCATTGTGACAGTTGTGGCAGCAATTTGTCACTATTAGAAAAATCATTTGTGTTCATAGGTTTAAACTCTGGAATATGTGTAGTCACTATTATGTATTGTTTCTCTGGATTTAAATACAGAACTTTCATGGAACATGTGTTCCTGTTGTTTTTACAGATTTAGATACAAAAACTCCCTTGAACATATGTGTACCTGTTGTTTCTTTACATTTAAATACAAAACCTCTCTGGAACATGTGTTCCTGTTGTTTTCACAGATTAAGATGCAAAACCTCCCTGGAACGTGTGTTCCTGTTGTCTTTACAGATTTAAATACAAAACTTCCCTGGAGTATATGTGTACCTGTTGTTTCTTTAGATTCCTGTAATTTGAACTTTTCGTAACGCTTTCTGTTGACATCACTAAGTGTTGTTCGTTTCATGGCAAGGATCTTGTATTTTTCCTTGTACGCTTTGTTGATTTCATCCATCATCGTGTTGACCTGGTTATAAGTCATGCGTCCCTTGATATACCTGGTAAATATCAACATCTTAATTAAATTCCATAATTAATCAGATAAGATACTGTAAATGTTTTTTCGATGGTTCAAAATTTCTGTGACTTACCAAAATCCTGAACGATAAAGGAACACATTTTTCACGAAACTCATCTTACGGATGATTCTATTCTCCATTTACATAATATTCTACAATATCTATTTTTCTGCTTTAGTCCATACTTGATAAGAGTGAAGGACAGATCTGATAAAGATGACACACTTTATAATAAAAGAAATGTATAAATGTACACTCCTTCCCACAACCATGATCTTGCTCCTATGCTGTATCTGATGTCTATCATATTCAAGTTATTAAAACAGAATAGAAGAGGATGAACTCCTGAACCCAGGTATAGAATCAGTACAGTAGATAAAAGAATATCCTGACTGGAAACCTCACTTTGGGCAAAGCTCCTTTTATATCTGACAATCATGATTTATCTTAAGAGGGTCCTGTTTTTGATGAAAGATCTTCCTGGGACTATAAAATACACATATGCTGAATGGCAATGTTTCTTGGAGAGTTTCTCTCTTTTTGAGAATTTTCTCTGCTGGGTTTTAAACTCAAAATGTAAAGAAATATCAGTAATGCATTTGTCATGTTGAGATTTTCCAGTGTTTAAGATATTGGTAAACTTTGTAAAATGTATTACTATAGCAATTTATATCGTCTTTATCTAGCTATAAGTCTGTCTAGTTATAAGCTTATCTTAAATGTTGTGTGTCAGCAGAATATCTGATAACGACTATTTCCTTATTCTTTGATAAGGATGTTCCACAACTCTGAGTCAGATAGTGTTGCTCTGAATTTATTGCGGGATATAAAAAACAACATTTCTAACTTTCCAAAGGGTAGTGAACATACTTAGGAACATTTTCAAATTCTTCCACTGTGATGTACTCCAGAGTTGGTATGTACACATTCTTCTGTTTCCTTCCTCCTGATTGGTTACTTCGTGGAGGCTGGTTTTCCTTACAAGATACCTGGTTGGTTGATTTCTTACTTTGTGCAGTAGCTGTTTTTGTGGTTGCCGCTGTTGGCTTTTCTCTGTGAAATTTTGAATTTTAATCTATTATATAATATTATCATTAAACTTATATTTTTTATCACTGATATTATCTGTAATATAAATACCAATAGAAATATATATATATTTGATTTTAATTTTAATTTTTACCATCTCAATTTGGACCATTAAAACCAAAATAAATAACTTGAAATAATTCTGAAAATCTTGCAAAGAAAAAAAATGTACTTAATAACACAAATGTTCATGAGAGTCCATTAGGTTTGCCAATCTCAGCAAGAATCTGATTCCTGATGTACCGATATTGAAACAACAAAACTGTTCGATTTAATTCTGTCATTTTGGTCTGAAAAAATAATTGTGTGTTTCCTGCTATATGCTTGAAAAAAATTCTTGGGGGTAAGTTGGAAATTTAAAAAAAAAAAATGGGGGTGAAATGTAGGGTAATCGTGATTTTAACAGTGTTTCATTGAAAATTGCCACAAAAAAGTTGATAAGGAAACAAGATACAAACTTATTTTGTTCTGCCTTATCATTATATATTTGATAAGAAAATTAAACCTGATGGACTGTCTACCAGCCCCTCAGTTAAAAAAATACCTTTTTTTACTTGGTTATCTCCCCTCCCTGTAATACTTTACCATACTTAGTAATCAGAATTATAGGACCAAATTTTCATTAAAATATTCGAGAGACCAGGGCAAGTCTAAAATTGAATAACAGATAAATAACCTGTAGATAAAAAAACAACTTTTTTGGTACTTTTATGGACAAAAAGAAACCTAGGCCACTCAAATTTAAATACTGTAGTTACTATAGTAGGCATATAAAAGCAAAGTGGTAACATACACACCAAATATATTATTCATTTGGCCTTATTTATGTTAAACTCAGAACACAGATGTGAGGAATGATTTACTTGATTTCTACAGGAGCTTCTTTCTGAGCTGGCTTTGGCATCCTCGTGGGGATATTAGTAACTGCATGATTCAGCTTAGAGACCAGTCTCTCCATATCTGTCTTCATGGACTGTCAACAGAGCGACATAGGTGTTCAATCAAAATAAAATAAAGCCGGGTGGATTATCAACACACATTCCAGGAATATTGACATCAAATAACACACCAAGTATATATACTGCAATCTCTAAAATTATAAATTCATGTCTAATTTTCACAACTTAACAAGCTGTTTGGTATTTTCATATTTGTAATTACTGTACAAACTATGGTACAGTATTCTTAAAAGATTCACGGACAGAAATTTTGTAAAATTTTGGTAAAAGTGTGGCCAGATCAGTTTTAATGAAAATAGTATAATGTCTTATGCATTGTAAGCTTGTCTCGGGGTTTGATTTATTTTCATGTCTCATTAATAAAATTATTTATAGCTAATTTATATTAAAAAAAACTTAAGTTTGCATATCAAAAAAAAAAAAAAAAAATTAAACTGGACATTTACTTTTCCATATAAAGTCAAAGATTGCAATTTTAATTTTAAGTAATCCACTTTAAGATGTAACACTAATGTTTACTGTCCACAAAAATGTTGCACAAAAAATATTATTTGGAATTAAGTCTACAGCTATTCATTTTGTATAACAACACATAATAAGACGATTTAGAAATAAATTTTATAGTTTTTGATTGATATCTATAAATTGTGAAATTAATGTATATATTCAGTTACAAATAATTTCTATACATCTCCCCCCCCCCCCCCCCCCCCCAAAAAAAATTTTTTTTTTTTCTCATCAGCTAGTGTAACAAGATCAAATTCCCCCATATGTACCTCTGTGTCCTTGAGCTTTGTTGATTGTTTATTAACCTCTGTCCGCATTAAAGCTATGACCACTTGTAGGTTGTCCAGTTCAGTTTGTAAGCTGACCACTTGTGACCGGTAACTATCCTCATCGTCCTCGTCAGCACTTCTCAAATCCATGATGGTGTTGACCATTTCTAACTTTTGCTGAAAGTGCTCAGCCAAGCCTTCTAGAGATGTAGCGTCCATTTCTTATGGTTCAGTAGTCACAATTTCCTCTAAGTCTCGACATTCATAGCACTGAAAATATTTGGATAAAAAAGGTCAAAAATGGTTTAGGACAAATCTTGTGAAAAAAAATCAACAATGTTTGAACCCAAAGAATTGTCATGAGTGATGAAAATAAAATGTATTAAAAAACCTTATCCTAATTGGTAAATTTCTGTTAATTTAAAAAAACTTTACTGAAAAATTAATGCTTAAGGCAGAATGCCCCTTCCAAGTTTTCCTACCAAATCAATACTTTTATAGCATCAAATTAAGTCATATAACAAGGCAAACATTCAAGCTCAAAACAGAAGCTACCAATTTGGACCATAAATTGTCTGTCAGACATAAAATTAAAGCCATTTTAGGACTGCTCACATGCAAATGATATTTAGGCTTTCTGGCTTGGTCTAAAAATAGCTAATTAAACCAATTGCATGGTAACCTTGACCTCTGAACTCCAAAACATGAACTTTTTTCAGGTTTTCTCATTATGTATAGTTCAACCAAAACCACTAATAGGAAATGAAATGAAAGTGCACCAACTTTGTTGATTTTCTCCAAGATGTACAAATGCAAGATATATAAAAATATATATATCATACATATATACAACATGTTTGCATAAACTTTCCATATAATTTTATCACATTTAGCACCACAAAAACTGAATATTTAGTCATTGAAGTGATTGATCATGAGTTGTCTTGTCATAGTATTGGACTTACGGCTAGTCATCAACATCTCTGCCCACCGAAATTGTACAACACAAAATATAGCATTTGTTTAATCTGGTTATATCTATACTTTATTGCACCTAATCAATTGAAAGCAGCCATCAATCCTTACAATTAAAAGGCAAAATGTTTTTAAAAATTTGATAAATGTTAAAAAAAAAATCCATAATAGAGAGTGTAGTGAATGTGTGTGGTAATATGTAACACTAACAAGATTAAGCTGTCACCATGATCAACTCTAAAAGGAAGTGGTGCTGGAACTTCGTCTGATGAATGGATTAAAATGTATTTGGACAAACAAAATATCTTTTCAGCCTTTGACATGGAAACTAAATCATACCAAAAAGCCTTAAATAATTTATAACAAACGTACATGCTAATGATTTTAAATGCATGTAAATAACCAAAAACTCATTAATTTCAAGTTTAAAAATTGGGAATTTCGTCACTTTCCGTTAACAAGAAATACTTTGTCTCTTTAATTGAAGCAGCAGAATGGTGCCAATTATACATTGAAACATGTACCATCTGTTGACTGTATTACTGCAATATTTGGATGTATAAACCATATTTGTCTGAATCTTAAAATGATGGAAGTATTTGAATGTTCAAAAAATTTGAAGCAAACACATATATGGTACAATGATAGGATAATTAATGGTGGAGAATTTTTGTTTTGAGAAAAGGGCAGTTTATGTAATATTGGTGATTTTATTTAGAATTCGTAATGACTAATTCATCAGGCAAATATTTATAGAAATTTTCTGAATTACAGCAGTATTTACAAAATAATAATATATGGAAACTTGAACTTAATCTGCTCTGTTCTACTATGGCCAGTCAACACTGCTTATTGAAAACACAAAAGGTTCAATTGCATTTTATGATTTGTTTAACAAAAAGAAAACTGACAATAGCAAAAAATAGAAATCACATAAAACCTTAGTCTTCCACTTCATCTTACCTACGAACTTATTTCTTTTTAAAGAAAAGCTACTAGATAGTCCTCTCTGCAACCTCTGTAACTCTGAATTGGAAACTATTTTACATTCATTTTGAAAATGTGATAAATTTAAAAAACTAATTCAAAGTTACATTGCTGAAGGCTTTATTCATACATTCTTCATTAAATAAACAAACTTCCATTTTTGGTAAGATCAGTAACAAAAACATTCCAATAAATAAAGTTTACTTTATTTCTTTATTAGATTTAATGCTTATTATGGACATGCGGCCTTACACCTGAAAAAAAAAGATAATTAGGTTATTCTGCATATAAAACTGTGTCTGAACACTAGTGGCATAAGTTGGGTGGTTGTGTGTTGTGCAGTGGTAACACACTGGTTAGAAATATTTATATAAGTTTATAGTTTGTTTTCCCTTTTTAATTTACACAAGTTTTTTAACATCAATTCATTAATCTAAATATTCCATCTTTGTTCAGTATAAAGTCCAAACTGGCCAAAAGGGGAGATGCTTACAGATAAATGTGTGTACAAATAAAAGAAATTGGATAAACCAATAAAAATAATAGAATAATGCATCTTATTTACATAAATAGTTAAATATATTACCTACAGTATGCAATGATAAAATACAGCAGAATTCATAAAGTTGTCATTTTCATTAAAACAGTTTTAATTTCCAGTCTCCAACATAGTCATCATGCACATTTTTTTCTAAAGCCACAGCTACCAGCCATTCCCCTTTCCTTTCCCTCCTATTCTTAATAAATTTCCTCCTCTCCTCAAAATCATTTTACAATTTTTCACTTGACATTCCTTTCTTTTCAAGTCTTTTGTTTTTCTTTGTCATATTTAATGTTTTACAGTTGTATCTGCAGGAGTTATTACATGGAGGAAACTTTATTTAATTCAACTTTTACAATCAGTTTGTAAGCACAGGAAGGATCTTACTCTGGGAGGAAACCACAGAAAACCCATATACGTTTAGAGAATCAAATCCCTGCTAAGTGAAAGAGGAGTGTGTTAACATGACGATAAGTAACAAATCAGTGCATGTGGATGAAAATTGGCGTTTGTCATTTTAAAGCCTTGAAAAATTTAAGCGAATTTAAAAAACACGCTTCAGTGAAGCCACGAATCTGGCAGTTCAAAATGTGCATCTTGTTCTCGCTTTTAAGCAACACCTACTTCATGTTACATTTAGAGATGAGAAAGAAATGATACAGTGACAACAGAATTGTAGGTGTTAACATTGATAGCAGAAATGAAAGACTGGTGGAATTACATTAATGTAAGACTGGCCAAATGGAACAAATATATTTTGACAATCCATATATGTATTTATGATTAAGGACATGAGTATTGTCAAATTGAATTGTGTGTACTGGCTGGGGCGACAAGAAAGCTCGTCATAAATATTACGTGACAAAAGAGAAGTAGACATAATGGGAAAATGTAGGAAAGTTCCAAAGGAATCGTCTGTACATTTGTATTTCCATCTTTCAATAGGCACTTGGAACCTTATTACGATGTAGTTACCGGATGGGATATGCTTACTTAAATAAAGCAAGAAGATCGCGTTGTCATTGTGCCTTTATGACGCTTCGTTCACACTGATTAAAACCATATCTCCATCGTGTTACGGTCAATGTCAACTCTCATTTGTTTGAAAACGCCGCCAGAATCAAATCCCGGAAGTCACGAACGAAATCACGTTGGACATCTCGGGACTTACTTCCTGGCAACGTGACGTCACAGCTTCGAAACGTAAATACTTTGGGCAAAATGGATTGACAGTGTTCTAATAAGTAAACAACGGGAGGCCAAAAGAACAGGGATATCTGGCCAATTTCATCGAATAGCAAGGACAGAGGATAACGTCACCAGCGCAGCAAGCGCTGTAAATTATCTTCAGTTAATTTTATTTAAACGTAAAGCATTTCAAGATGATGGTCTCTCAGAGAACTCGTAGGACCAGGGAGTTCACCGGGCCAACTCCTCACTCCGTCGCTATCGTGAGTATATGTTTTGTCGTTTATAGAAATTCAAACTTCTATACTGATTTTAAGTAACAACATTCGGCCGTTAAGTCGAAAAACATCGTTGAACCATGTCAGTACACGAAGTTATGTCTATACAAATATATCTTTATAGATGTTAGTTGTAACATTCACCAGTGTTCACAACACTGTTGTCGGGAAACCTGGGGGTCAGTTTTGTAAGGTAGCATGGTAAGTCAGTTAAATCAGGATAATGACATTGTTGAGGAAATCTGGTACTGATTCAAACTAATCAGGTACCGTTGATTTGTACAAAGTGCACAACGTTTGAACTAGCCTTACAGGCAGACAAGTTGTGCACAAAAGACAATTAATGAGTGAGGTCATTTAAACCGGGATTAGCAGTAAATCAGAGAGCTAAGCTCATCAGAAAATCAATCAAAACAAATCAGGGGGCAGAATTAGGGAGTTGTTACTTATGGCGAAAAAAAAGAGCAACACCTTTCGGGGGTTGGGCATATCAAAATATCGTTGTGAATCAAGAAGACATGCAGAGATTCTGGTAAGCAAGTAAATCTTTGAGTAAATATGGAAGTCAGGCATGTCAGCAAAATAAAGGAATCAAGTAGGAAAAGTTGCCCTCCGTCTTCCAACTCTCAGAAGTCAGGTAAAGAAGGGAAATGTGGAAAGCATGTAAAAGAAGTTTTCGTTCTAGTCAGTGAAAATAAGTCATAGAGTCATTGGAGTAGAGTGAAAAATAAGTAAATTGTCATGTACCGACCATATACAGGTACAGGAATGCAAATGAAGCACTTAAAATCTTAGAGATCTTAGCAACTGTCAAACAGTAAGAGAAAGTTGTCAAGACTTATATTCAGTGTCCAGTGTCCAGTGAGTCAGTAAACAATAAAAAAATACCTCTTGAATGCAACCACAATGTTTGAAATTGTTGTTTTTCTAATAAAAAAAAACTGTGCAGCGATTATAATGGATCGTAAATATGTTGCACTAAGCCCATAAATTCTTATACTTACGTAGCACAATATATCGGACTTGAATAAATTTATACAACTCTCATATGACAGGCTGTTGTGAACAAGCCAACCTCTATAAAATAGATTGTGAAAATTTATGAGTGAAACTGTACTCAGTTTAGTTTTCATTGTTAGCTTAAATGTTTCTTCTATTTAGCTTTTATAACCTGAAGAACTCTCTATTATATCTATTATATAAATGTATCACTGCTAAAAAGTGTTTTATTTTTGTTCTACAGCGAGCAAGAGCTCCAAATGTTCGTCCACCAGAGCACCTTATCCTTGAGAGGAGGAAAAAGGAAGAAATGCTTCAAGAATACAAGAAAAACACACAATACATGGAATTTAATGATCTAAAGAATGAATGGGAAAGATTTACAGACAAGAAAATCAAGATCAACACTGCTATGCGAAGAGTAGATGGTCTCATGTTAGCTAATCAGTTTAATATTGAAGACAGACGGGAAAGGTAAACCTTCATTTTTTTAAAATTTGTATTGAAAGATACTTTTCACTTGTGTGTCTTTCATGCGATCTTCAAAAACTTTTAATCTTTTACATACTTTTAGTCACCTATGTTTCATGCTATACACTGTAAGCCACATTTAAATTCATAAGAATAGTGACAGGCTCATTTCAAAAGTATTTGTTATTGAATATTATATGATTTATTGAATTTTGGGCTCCCTGTTTGGTTTCTTGATATTCATTTTTAGACCGATTCGGACCTTACTCCTTTGCCTCCTGTGTTTAAATAAATTTAGGCCCTTAGTAGAAAGACAACTCATTAAGGATGAAACAGTTATACCATGCAGTTAAATTCATTATTTTGCCATACAGTGTACTGTATATAATTCTAAATTTAAAAATATACCTCTATATATATGTTGTTTAATTGTTCAAACAACATATGGAGAACATAGGAGGTTAATGGGCTAATTACAGGACATAATGAAATAAAACATAGCATTATCTTATATTTTACTCAAAAGCATTATGTATATTTATCACATGTGTAGCTTACCTGTTGTGTCATGTCATGTAGCCTGGCATAGATAAATTGTAAGATATGTGTAATAACACTATGATGACGTCATACATGTCTTGATAATGTAACACGGTGGTCTCTGTAGCAAAAAACATATACAGCCTTCAGTTAAAATTGGTCTGTCTTAGGGGAGTTTTCTTTAATTTATCAGAAATATGGGTTTTATGATTAATAGAATCTTACACTTGTGCCAATTTAATATAGAATCGATTAAACTTGTTAATATTAGACTCATTTGTTAGTTACCATATATCACTGATGTAAGATCCTCTATCTCTGGGTGGGCTTATTATCAGGCATAGGCTTTATATTGCAGGAAAAATCTATACCAATGATGGCTTTTTGTCTCTTGGCTATTGTTAAGATTCAATAGGAATTAATTATTTAAAAAACATGCTTGTAAGATTTAGAAATTTGACCAAAATACTTTGACAAATATCAAACTGTTATGATTAAAGGTTTAGATCCAAGCTATTCTTATATCAAATCTTTGTTTTTTTCTGTTGCTAGGTTAAGAACCATGTTTTTTCTGTTGCTAGGTTAAGAACCATGTTACAGAACGAGGAAGCTGCATATCTACGAGAAATGGATGAAAAAGAAGAAACAGTATTAGAAAGACAAGCCAAAATGAGAGAACGTGCAAAATATTTGAAGGATAGACGTGAGTCAGAACGGTTGGAATATGTACAAGAAAAATATGATCAACAGTTCAGGTAAATTTTCATCTTGCTTAAAATGTTTATCTGTTGTTTTTTTTTTAGATTTGGTTGCTTTAAGTACCTCTAGTAGATATCGCATGCTATAAGTTAGAACATACACAAGTGTTACGAGGGAGTTTGTATTTTTTTATGAGACCTTTTTACAAAAATTGGAAAATATGCAAACATTGTACACCTGTAACACGAAGTGGAAAAATGGAACACAATGATGTGTCTGTATTGGTGAAATATCGAAAAACAAAATAAAGGCTACAATTATTTTCAGTTATAGTTAATTTATTCATCATTGCAGTATGTACATTTTTTTTCCCCGTCTTATCAGCATCATGCTACATCTAAAGATTTGGGAAATTCTTAAACATAAGAGAAAAAAAATTATAATCAATGGAATTTCCACATCATTCCACAATATATTTATATGCAAAAACTCATTTCAATTTGCTTCACATTTTCAGAAACCAGTGCGAGGAACTAAGGTCAACATTGTCCAAACGCCAGCAGGATGAAGTTTGTGCTGAGAGACTGGAACAGCTCAAAATCAAGGAAGAAATGGATAGAGAGAAGATGGAAGAGGATAAAATGTATGCCAGACTATGGGAGGAAGACAGATTAAAGAAGGCAGATAGGGAGGAACGTGATGCTAAGGCAGCACATGAGAGGAATATTGAAGTCCTCAGTACACTCAGGACACAAATGGCTGCATTGGAAGAGAAGAAAGAAACTGCCATTAGGTTGAAGGAGGAAGAAGCACAGTTACTGGTGAGAACTTTAAACTTTGGAACAGAAATTCGATATATATTTATACCTCAACTCGTGCAAAAAATAGTCATTACGAAAAAATAATTGCAATAAGAAATGAAATTTACTAAAATTTTGTACATTTAATGATAAAAGGAAATGTAGCTAACATGTTCTTTTCTCTTTTGTACATGTTTTAATGCCAAGAAATTTTCACATACAAATTCATCTTTCCTTTTCATATAGAATTTATGAAATCATTTATGAGAGAATTTGTTTGTTTATAGAGGGAACAGGCAGCTCTAAGACAACTAGAGGAACAACGAAATCGCGAGGAAAAACTTCGATTACAACAGGAAACACGTGACATGTTAGATTTGTCTCTGAAACTTAAGATGAAGAAGAAGGCTAAAGCCGAACAGGAACAGTTGGCCTTTGATCTCAAGATTCTTGAGCAACTTCTGGAAGAATCAAGGAATGAAGCTATGGAACAACTACAAAGAAAGGTAACTGTTATGTCATTGTTTTTGTGCACTACGTCATCATTTATTGACTAATATGTCACTGTTTATTGTGTACTCTGTCATTGTTTCTTGTGTACTCAAATGTGTTGTATCATTCTATAAAACTATTGTCATAATTGTAATGATAGAATAACTTTAGATATAAATTATTTCAGATAAGAGATGATTCATTTCTCAAAAGTGTACATAATTTTTGGATTCAGTAAAATGAAATTAAAATAAATGTTTTTTTGTTTTTCACTTAATCCTTAAGGTTTATTCAGAATATCTAATTGAGAACATCTAATTTCATAATAATTTTTTCAAATGATAAGAAGCAGAGATATTTTTCTATATTTTCAATAATTTCTATAATTAAACAACTATCTTTTCCAGCGAGAACTCCGGGAGGAAGATAAACGTTATCGTGAATATTTACGTAACTTGATGGAGGAAGAAAAGGTGAAAGAGGTCGAACTGGAGCGTCTCATCAACCAGGAGGTTGAGAAAATGTGGCAGAAACGTCTTGACCAATGGCGACTCGAGAGACAGGCTCGCAAGAAACTAATGGAAGATGTTCTTAATGTTAGAGCTCAACAAATCCAGGATAGATGTAAGTATTTTTTCTTTTTCATAACCTTAGATAGATATTTCCGAAATCAAATATTTATTTTTTTTTTATATTTAAATTCTTCAATTTATCAAAATCCTGAAATCAATTATTGTTCCAAAGGGAAAACTGACTAATCATTGCTACCAGTATTGTATAAGTAAGATCACTGCTGAAGAAAAATAAAGATTTGAACATATATCAATTTTGCTTAAATGTTATTTGAATTCCATTTCCAGTTGAATTATCAATAATTTCAATTTTTTAAAAATTTTTTTTATCTTATATAAAAAAAGTATAGAAGAAAAATTGTATGTTGTATTCTACATCTCAATAGATATGTAAATGTAACAGATGATTTCCATAGTTTTGCGTAAAAGATACAAAAATGATAGATGTGTAATTTCAATTTCAAAATCAATCTTAATTGACATTTTAATTAAATCTGAATCTTTCAGTATCAGCAAACGAGAGAAAACAGAGAGAAGCTGAGATTGAGCGACAAGAACTTCTACGAACGATTGAGGAAAATAAGATTCTTGAACAGCAGAAAATGGAAAAGAATTGGAATAAAAATCGTGCATACCAACAGGACCTCTCTGGACAAATTGCGTATAACAACCATCTCCGTGACCTTGAGCTTAGACGGGAAGAGGAGGAATTCCTATTGGGCATGCAAGCAGAAAAAGAGTACCAGGCGCGACTCATGGATTGTCTTGACAGTCCGGAGTATGACAAACTCCACCCGATGCGGAGAGCGATGGCAGCCCGAAGTGCTCAGCAAAATAGACATTGATAGACCAAAAGTCCATGTTAGTCAATTTGACATATATACAAAAATTAATGAAATTTGAACTTTCGATCCATTTTAATGTTGGAATACTATTATGAATGTGAAAGGCTTTTTATATTTGTTATTGTTTTAGCCTTTTACAAAAAATATTTGAAATCAGACCAATTTTATTTCATGAAGTTTTAAGCATGTATCTACATACATGTACATTTGCATCTGTTATTTAAAAATGTAGACTTCTATTGAAAGAAAAGTTCTATTATTTGGTGATATAGATAGTCCATATAGTACACCATATGAAACATGATAAGATATTATCAAGATCAATTAATAGTGTATCTATCTTGTGTCATATATTTCCCTATAAATGCTGATACTTTTGATTCATTGTTGCTTGAGAACATTTCTATAGATTTAGCTTTCCATAAGAAATACCTGGTATGTTAATTTGAATCCAGTATCAAATACTTCTTAATAATAAATTTGCTGAAATGTTTTAAAAATCTATTTCAAGTAAGATAAAATATTTTGAAATTAATCTTGTGAGTAGCAAGATTTTAATATCCTTGCACTGTGAGTTTAATTGTTTCAGATAAAACTAGCTCCATATCATTTTTAAACATATTTCATAAATAGGAGTATATGCATGAACATATATCACATTTTTGAAATACTGTACTAGAACTTAAAACCTCAGGAAATGCAGAAATGTACATAGGGTGGATCTAGTTCATTACTAGTATTAATATAGTTGTTTGATAATGATAAAATTACATCCAGTGAAGTTATTAGTTAAAAATATCATTTAAAAATCATGTTCTAATATTAAAGCCAAGGTGTTATGACATTCCACAGTTGAGATTGTTCTTTCCTCTCTTTATTTCAGTAGAAGAAATAAAATGAAATTATAGGGATGCAGATATTGCAGTAATTTTTTTTTTTTTTTTTTTTTGTGTAATTTAAATATGCAAATAGTTTCCTGAAAATGTTGAATTGTAAAGCGTTGAAAGAGCAAATAATTAAATGAGAATGGGTCTGTTGAAAGTAATTACAGAATGTGATGATCAAAACACAATTTGTTTTTCCTTGAAATTAATTTCTCATGTTCTATGTGCATCTATATTTCCCCATACTTCTAATGCTCGTCTATAATTAAATAAATGTTAAATGCTAGATTTCCTGTCTTTGTTTTGTTTTGTGAATAGTGGAACTAAATATTTTATACACATGTACCAAAATGTTCTTGAAAGTAAAGCCACTCAGGGCTGCAAATATTAAATATATTAAGGCTTGTGCATAATTAATTTCCATGTAACATTTTAAAATTAAAATGATTTAAGGGTATATACTATCTTTCATCTACGACAGAGAAATGTTACAGATTTATCTCCCTTACGTTGAATTTTACATTTATTTTCATAACAAAATGACTGACTTGATTTCATCAATGTATCATTACTAACAACATGCCAATTATCACTTTTGGGGGAAAAAAAACATATGACAGATTTGATTGTGAAATAATCTTCATAGCGGATGTGCATATGTATATAAGGTAGCATAAAGCCTTAATTCAGAGATTATAGGGTGTATCACAAAAGTTGACAAAGTGAAAGTTGGAGCTGTTATTTGTAATGCAAGTGAGGTGTCATGTTTTGACCTATACATGAAAGCATGAATATCTAGTTTACATTATGTATGATTTCAAGTAACAAATCGCCAGTTGTTCAAGCTGGTGTGATATCTACATGGCCCTGATTCAGTTTGTGATGAATTTGTATTTCAATTTTTTGTTTATAAGACTACAAATGTATATATAAAATTTGTAGTGAATTACTTATATCATTATGTATATAAGTACTTAGATTACATTGTGTCAAAGGACATGCTCCCATTGTAAGCTGTGATATGTTAATGATTGTTCAGAACAAAACGAAGTAACAAACTTGCATTCCACTATTTTTGTCACAGAGACTAAGAAATATTTTTTATCATTCTTTTTAGGAAAAAGGAAGACATCTTGATATTACAGATACATGTTTTTTTTTTAAATTTAAGTTCATTAATTATTTATTTCAAGTTTGTCATTATGGTTTTGAAACCACAAGTTATTTGATTAATTTATTATTAAGTCTGAGAAAAAAATTATTATTCTAAATATTTTGTTTTGTACAAAAATGCTAGCAGTTAATGGTTTATGAATGAATATATACAACAGAATTTTCTAGTTGTCACATTTCTTTGTGAAAAAATGCACTTGTAAATATTTATTTACTGACAATGGAAATTGTTTGTGTATATAACTGTATATATTGTGAAGTAAATTAAAAAAAAATTTCCATCAAAGAGCTGCTTTCTATCTTATCATTTGTTCAAACATTAATTTTTTGAAATGATGTACATAGATAAAGTGATTTAAATTCAGCATTCAAAAGTTCAAAATATTTTATTTACTAATAGAACTTGATTTTATCTTATTTTCTAATCACTGTGAAAAATTATTCTGCTTTCCAAAAGGAGCTCAAAATACGACTGTTATTGGGCTCGTAAACATGAACACCCCCAGAGCCATGCATATGACTTAGTATAGAAACCCAAACTGACCTTGATCTTGGTACCCTGATATACGAACTCGTCCCAAGTATTATCAAACTTGATCTTTTTGATTGAATTTTGATTGACATCTTTTAAGAGACAGAGGTTTAAAATGGTTGATTCTTTCACTTTTGACTACCATCAAGAATAACATTGATTCTATTAGTGTTACTTCCCTTCAAATAGCTATCATTGAAGAGTTTAAAGACTTTTTGGAAAAAATTTGGTGGGACACTGATGCAGAGAGACGAGGAGGGAACTTAGCATTAACTCAAGGTTACTCACAGGCAATGAGATAAAAACCACAAATACTTGATAAAATGAACACAAAAAATGGAAGATGGTAAAAATAGATAATTTATTGCTTCAACATAAGAAATGTTAAATCTATAATTAATCAACATATATAATAAAACCAATGGACCATAAAACTTTGTACTCAGAACAAATAACACTCGTACATCACCAATACAGGTATTTCTTTGTTAAATATTCTTCATATATAATGATCTGTTTGTTACATGCTGTTTCAAAAACTGCCAAGGCAGAAAATAGCTTTAGTAATGACCACACTACAAATGCATAGACACATTTCTGGGTATCACATAACCCCAAACTTCTTAAAAGAATTTCATTTTAATCAGAATTAAAAAAAAAACATAAATAACATTTAACATTTAAATAGTGCAAAACAGCAAAATCTTCATTACGTGTATTTCTTTAGGTACAAATATACCGGTGTAATATTCTATCTACGATTAATCACTAATATTCTAAGTGTAAATCTACTTACGTGTATCACTTTGATGCATTACTATGGCAGTTTCAATGCACTACAAGTTAAAGTAAAATTCATTCCTACTCAGGTTTATCACATCATGTTCCTGTGATTCTGACTGATAAAGTTAGGTCTGATATGTTCATATCCTTGTATTTCCTATCCAAACCGTTATAAAAAAAAAAAATCAGAATTTTTATTACTATGAAAAATCACATTTAGATTAAAACATAGAAAAAGAAAATAACAAGTTTTCTGGACTTACCAGTTATACAATAATTTGATCTGAATATGCAAATTTTATCATTTGTCATAAATGTGGAAAGAAAAGTTCCTTTGAAATATCTGAATGATCAAACAAGATTTATTAGTTGGAAAAAGTAAACAAAAACATATCTATTTACCTAAAGTAAGGTGTTCAATCGTTCTGATATGCCAATTTTTGGCTGTTTTTTTGTTGCTCTTCTAAACATATTATTTTTAAATATGAAATAATTCAATTTCTATCTGCATGTTTAAAGATACAGCCATTTACAAAGCAGAATGAACAATAAGTTACAATCATACTGGTCACCATATCAATCCTGAGTGTCATCAAAATAACTTTAATAAATAAATATTAATCAATGATAAATTTTGTAACAAGTGGAAATATTTCTTGTCCTTACTGGTAAAGTAATAGATGTGTATGTATGCAGCATGGAAAGTACCAAGTCGGCATAATGATAAAAAAATGATTTAAAAAAAGTTTCAAGAAATAAAATTATTTTCCTGATCAATAAAGATAAAATATTTACTTACTTTTTTTCTAGTATGACTTTACTATAGTTAAAGTTAAAATAAAATTTTCAAATTTCAGTAAGGTAAAATTGAAAAGTTTTGATAGCGATATATTTTTGTCAAAAAGAGGTTTTAGTATTCATGCTTAAATGAAATGTAAAAAGCTTGTTAAGTACTTGGGCTGACTAAGAGTAACCTACCTATATGATGTAAACAGAGAAATGTACAGAAAGTTTTCTGGCTACCATAGTGACGTGACTTCAAAACTGTATATCATACCTAAGTATATAACAATGTACAAAGCAGGTTATGGACCCGATTGACAAACACCTAACTACTATACCAGTAAAAATAACACTGACATCAAAATGTAAAAAATCATGAGTAATATTGAGGTTTCTGTCACTCGAGTTAAAAAATAAACTGAAAAAATCCCAAATTTATGCTTCCTATTCACAAACAATATCTTTTTGTAACTTCAGTAGTACATGCAATCCTAAGCTCAAGAAAAAAAAAAAAATGTTAAAGATGTTTCTTGATAAGAAAGTGATATCCAAGCATACAGAAAATGTATGCATTTTAAATTTCAAATAGATATTTAGTTGCCTATACCATTTTATCACCTCTTTGTGCCCTAAAGCTATTGTAATAAAAATTTTAATTAAAAAATTATTTTTTTTGCATTTTTTGCTAGCCAAAAGCAGCATCCTAATTTGAAATACTTAAAAAAAAAAAAAAAAAAATTTCATTGGAGAAACAAGTTCTCAAACTAGTGGTTATATAACAACATAAATATATTCTTGTTCAACACACCCCACCTCTTAAGCTCTCACATGGTACTTGATGATTACATATGACTTTGAACACATCAAAGAAATAATATATGCATAAATTAAAACAGAATGTTCATTAGATAAATAAAAAAACAAATGCTCAGAATTTGATGTAGTATTTTTTTCTATATTCAGAATTGTATCAAATGATGATTCTAAATAGATTTT